AGATGAGCTATATTTGAGAATTGGTCTGGCAAAAGTTTTGTCTTCTTATTTCCAGATTCTTATGTTCCAGGAGGGGAAGAGGTGTGGAGATCACATGAAGGACTTTAAGGGGAGTTTCACTTTTCTATAAAACTATATTGCACTCACGTCTTGTGGTGATGAACAAATCTTAAATTGATTTTCTTAACAGTTAAATAAGTCGTAAGACGATTTAAAACACAGGAATTATAGAAAGGAACGATTGCTTTCTTTTCTTCCAATCTCAACATAAGAGTAGATAACCACCCAATAAGAATTATGTCATATCTACATTCCCAACAGAAAGGAAAAGTGTCTTTGAAAAAAATATGATTAAAAAAAGGATGTGTCTACATCTGTATGAATGTTTTTTTCTTAATTTGAGAGCTGCTCAGAGATGTCCCCATGCTGCTTATTCCAAGATCATCTTGAAGGAACTGATATTAAGTTTCACTTTTATAAAATATTAAAAGATGTTGATGTTGATGTTGATGTTTATTGGTCTTGTATGCCGCCCACTCCTGAAGGATTCCAGGCGGCTTACAATAAACAAGGGAAGGGGATAAATAAACAAAACAACACTTTAAAATACACAAAATTCACAGTTACCGTGGGCCTGAATATTTCAAAAGCCCCCCCGGCCTGCTGGAGCAGCCAGGACTTAGTGGCTTTGCGGAAGGCCGGGAGGGTAGTAAGGTTCCGGATCAAAAGGTTGCTTTTGTATTCTTTTACCATGTTAAATGTTTAAGACATTATATTCTTGCCTAAAATGTGTAATAAATTACTGTGCTTTTGCTAACAACAAAATGTGTTCAGTAAACAGGACAAGATAAACTTTGTTTTTCCAAGCCGTTTACAGGTGCCTATGTAAAAGTTAGATAGGAAGACATCTGCTCAGGCACCAGAAAAAACCAAATAAGAGACAGGGGCCTCTCAAGAAATTATCAAGTTGACTCTTTAGAGTATGGAATGACGAAAGAAATGACTTAAATGAATGAGCAGGAGGGGGAGAGTTTCTTAGGAGTAGAATATATAAAAGGTATTGTTTGAATGGTATTCTTTGCTCTCCTTGTTCTCAATCCATTTGGGAAGAGACTAGGAGGCTGCATTTGCAAACAATTTTATTTTTCTGTAAATAAACCCTTTTAAATTGTGAACCAGTCTTGTCTCTCTGTTTGGAGGATTTAATAATTGAGTTTTTATCTCACTATCTCTTTCCTCCTCTGTAATTTAGTTTCACAGAAAAATGCAGCCTTCTGAGACTGAAAGGACTTNCAGCCTTCTGGTCTTTGGGTTTCCGGTGCTCTGGCACATGCACACAGATTACAGTTTGGACATTCATGCTGAAAAGGTTCGCGATCACTGGTCTAGTGTCAAAAGTGTCTCAAAGTCCCAAATGAATCCTGCTGAATATCTGATAAAGGTGATTTTGAAATGCCAATAGTTAAGAACAATCAAGGGTAAGCTTTTACATTTTCAATTTATTGTGCAGTCAAAGGGCTTTACATTAAGTAAGAGAAAGTCTTTTGGGTTATGTCAGACTTTGTAGCAGCAATCACATCCAGAAAGCACACCCAGGTGACTGATTCAGCAGGATTCATTAACTTCTCTTGATATATAATATAACACATGAAGTAAATATACAATACATAAAGCAGGTTTTCCAATGTGGTAATAAATAAAAGCAAACACAGGTAGAGGAGAGAACAATTTCAGTTTCAGTTAGGAGCAGCAAAGAGTTTTTGAGCTCAGAGCTTTAGTACAGAATAGTTGAGCTAAGCCACGCCCAGGCTCCTTGCTGTCTCCTTGTTGCTCACACAGCAAATACTGTTTCAGTTTCCAAACAGCCCTCATTTTTGGAGTATAAGAGTTCAAAAAAGAAGCTGAAAATCTGGGTGCATCTTATACATTGAATGCAGCATTTTTTGCCTTCCAAAACCCTGCCCCTTTCACCAAAATGGCCATATATAGCCTTTAGGAGGCTTCCAGAGTGCTCCTGGGGCCTGGGGAGGGCAGAAATGAGTGGAAAATATGCCCCTTTTTGCTTACTTTTGCCCCACCCCCAGCCCCCAGGAGCACCCTTCCAGGACCGCTCCTGGCCCCTGTCGCTGCAAAGCACCCTTGCTGGCATGTCGCAGCTCGCTCGCCCGATCTCCCACCCGTCCGCACTAAGCCAGCCCAGCCTGCCGCTCACTGATTGGCAAAAGCTAAGCTGCGTGGAGTACGCCAGCCCGGGGCTTTCCCTCAAAAGCTTTTAAATGCTTCGCCTCCAGCCCGCTCACTGATTGGCTGGATTCCAGTAAGTATACCAGATGGAAAGATATGCCTCGGAAATGAGATATTATTTGTACACAATGGTTGATTTGCATGCCCTTGCTGCCCTGGTAGCTGTGTGAGAATCGTGCCCCTCTGGTGTGAAAACTGACCAAAGGATAGATACACCAAATTGTAAGAATCCTGTTTTCAAAGAAATTCCCTGAGGACCTGTATGGGAATTGGGCACTTTTTGCTTGGCTCCCGATTCACTTCCTCTCACTGTGCCTCCTGCACAGTAATAGACCGCCGTGTCTTCAGCTTTGAGGCTGTTCATTTGCAGATAGAGCTGGCTTTTGGCATCGTCCCTGGAGATGGTGAAGCGCCCCTTCACTTTGTCTGAGTAGTAGGTTGCTCCTCCATCATAACGTGTCCATGCTACACATTCCAGTCTTTTCCCAGGAACCTGTCTCACCCAGTTCATATTATAGCCACCAAAGTTGAAACCAGAACCTTGGCAAAAGAGATGTAGGGATTCTCCAGGTCTCCTCAGGTCCCCACCAGACCCCACCAACTGGTATTGAGATTGGACTCCTAAAAAGAAAGGTGTTTCAGTGAGGTCTCCTGTGTACAAGAATTAAAATGTGAAGAAGTTGAATAGGAAGAAAACTTTAGCATTACCTCTGAAGACTGCGAGTAAGGACACCAAGTTTAGCCTTGCCTCTAGTGACTGCACGTCCCTGCTGCACACAGA